AACATATTATACGACTTTTGTTTAGATTGCTAAGGCTAAAAAGTCTTCTATCGTAAATTCACTATTTACATCTCCCGGTGCCGTGCCGGTTTTGCCGTAAAACTTCGGCGGGCCATAACTTCTTCGTTATAACTCAGATTTCGGCGTTCTTTATATGTACGGAAACCTTGTGACATATTCTACAACTTGGTTAAGATTATTTATTCTAAATAATCTTTTATTGAAATGTCATTTTCGACCCCTATTGCCTCTAAATTGACTAGCCCGGATCTACGGGCGTTACATCAGGCTTGGGAGCCTGGTGAGTATATAGGGTTTTCAACCCACAATAAATAATTATATTTAATTTCACCAACCAATAATAACTCGATTACCCATTCCCGTTATCCTCATTTTACGTCCCTAAAACAACATCTATTACCAGGGACCTAATCTAGGATTTTCATCGGGACGAACATTACTGCAAAGGGGTTTTCTCAATAATGGATGAACTAAAGGCAACCATGAGGGGGATAGAGTACACCGGTGAGCACATCGTTCACAACACCTATAGGTTTTGAGCCTGCTAGCGTTCCACAGGACTGTCTAAAAAGAGTTTGTGGTCGTTATCGAGCCCTAGATGCCATGCATGGACGTAAAGCTTACAGCTTTATGTAATACTACCGCCTTAGAAGGCTAGATCTAGAGTATGAGGCCTAATTTTACTTAAAAACATCTGAATGAGAGAATGGTCTGAAGGGACTTGACAAGTTGACAAGCCAACTCGACGAGTTGGCTAGGATTTTCCCCGATAGTCTGGACGCGTTACAACACGGCGAGTTGGTGAGACAACTCGATGAGTTGAGTTGGATTTTCCAGATACTTTAGAGAACATGAAGGAACTCAACGAGTCGCATAGATGCACTCGACGAGTAGGGTCAACATGAACTATTGACTCAAGTGTTGACTTTCGTTGACTTTTAGGGTTTGGTCAATACATGGATTATAGAAACCATAGAGGGGTAAAATGGTCTTTCACCCTTTCCGAGAGTTAGAAAAGGGGTTAGCCTAACATATTTAGAGTTGTTGTTATAAAGTGTTAATTAGAGATGATTATAATGTGTAGGAGGTGTCTAGACCGATTGTTGAGTGTGAGACCTACATACTTATATACAAGGTGAGTCTTCTCACTGTACTTACCTCAGTGGTAATATTGTGTAACCGGAGGGTCTTATTTGAGTTATTAAACAGAGGGTTTTATGTGCTTATACTGAGTTATGTGATATTATGCATTTTGACTTTGTGATTTATGCTATATGTTATTATGTGCCTTACCGAGTTAGAACCGGAGGGTCCAAACCGAGTTGTGAGACCGGAGGGTCTTCACTGAGATACAAGACAGGAGGGTCCGACCCGAGCTATGAGATTGGAGGGTCTTCACTGAGACACATGACTAAAGGGTCCATACTGAGCAGTGAGATTGGAGGGTCCTCACCGAGACGCATGACCGGAGGGTGCATGCCAAGCTATTGAAATGAGAGGCTTATTATTTGTGTATGTGGTATTTTAGGGAACTCACTAAGCTTTGTTCTTATGGTGTTGTGTGAAACGTGTTTCAGGTACCTCTTAGGATTGCAGGAAGGCGTCAGCTTGATTGTACACACCATCTGGAGATTATGTTTTGAGGATTCTAGGATATCATTAAACATTTTGTTGTTTTGTGTTTTGAACAACTTATACATTTGGTGTTTTTGAGAAATGTGAGAATGTGTTTATTGTGCTTTTAAAAATGAAAAAATTTATTTGGAAATTTAGAGTGTTACATTTGTTATGCTAGTTGTCTTTTTGACTCTTGCACGGTATGTTGGGCTAATCCCATTGTATGTCGGGATAGACCCATTTATATGTTGGGCTAGGCTGATGGATCAGGAAGGGATAGGCCCATTGCATGTTATGCAGGTGCTAACTGTCTTTGTTACTTTTGCATTTGTATGATCGGACTAGGCCATTATATTGGCAGGGCTAGGCCCATTAAGGTTAGATGGGCCTAATATACGGGTTGGGCCCAATGTGAGGCGTAGGACCAATGGTATGTATGATATGTGGTATTTTGGGGAACTCACTAAGCTTTATGCTTACGGTTTTTATCGTTATGGTTTCAGGTACTTCCAGTTCGAAAGGGAAGAGCCTGATTTGAGTGCAGCACATCCACCCATGTTTTCACATTGTGATAATTTTGGGATTGTACTCTGATAACTATTTTCTTATAAAGTACTTTTGACTATTTAGAAAAAGAATAGTAAAAGTTGACTTAAACATAATTAATGTTTTGGTTGAATTAACAATGAAAAGTTTACCTCAGAATTTTGGGATGTTACAGATTAGACATATATAAACTCCAAGGCATATCATTCAACTAAAGCAATGTACTTTCAACTTGAAAAAAATTACAAACAATTAAAAGTAACAATAACCAAGTTTACATCTAAAGAAACTCCAAGTCATATCATTCAATTAAAGCAATGTATATTCAACTTGAAATAAACTGCAAACAATTAAAAGTAATAATTACCAAGTTTACCCCTAAAGAAACACCAAGTCATATCAATCAATTAAAGCAATGTACTTTCAACTTGAAAAAATATATCAACAAATAACAACCTACTTTTAACCTGAAAATATATCAACTAATAGCAACCTAGTTTCAACCTGAAAATATATATATCAACAAATGGCAATTTACTTTCAACCTGAAAATATATATCAACAAATAGAAACCTACTTTCAACCTGAAAATATATCAACAAATAGCAACCTACTTTCAACTTGGAAATATATATCAACAACTAGCAACTTACAAATAACAATGTACTAACAAATTGAATTCCAACAGGTAGAGGTGTTTATAGTAAAGTAGCTAGATAGTGAAAAAGTAAAAACAAAGCTCTACATTTTCTGGACTTGTACTTGTACTTAGGGATGCTTGAGAAGGCGCCATAAACTTGTGTCGATCAGAAACAAAACCAAATCAAAGTACTCTTCCTTTCTTGACACCTCCAGTAACTTTAACCCAAAGTTCATGATCATATAGAGGATGGATATCAATATCATCACCATATTTAGCCACCATACCATCCGTTTATACATCTTATTTTATCATAAACCCAATAGTGTCAATTAAGATTAAATATATAACATCATACTTAATTAATTGCTTTATTAAAGAGTAAAAAAAATACCACACTCATCATAGCTTTAGGTGTAACATAGTCATTATTTGAAGTGCTTTCTTTCAGTTTTTTAGTGCGATGTGTTCTATCAAACAGTTCATGGCGAGAAGGTGGGCGCTTCTGCTCTGATTCCAACAAAAATTTTAAAAAAAATGAAACAAATAACAAAACATATGTTGAGAATTCGAAATATAATGGAAACCAACACAGTTTACAAATATCTTACCAATTTGTCCTTATGATGAGAAATTGGAATAGAACCACCGTGTGATACCATATGAAACCCTGAAAAAGAGCACTATCAATGGCTGATTTATATATGTTTCCAAAACAATACACATTTACATCACAAAACAATACACATTGAAGTCTGACTTCCATTTTAACAACTTTGATGCTGCTTGTAACTTTGAATAATTTTCGCACACTTCCCATAAAGGTTCATCAGCATCAAGGCTCATATCATCAGTCACTACTAGAAAAACAGCCTTTTACGACGCTCATTGCGCATCGTAAAAGGCTCAGACGACGCGCAAATGCGGGTCAAGGAAGGCCCTGTCATAAAGAGAGACGACGCGCATTTACGACGCTCATTTACGACGCGCAATTATGACGCGCATTTACGACACGCAATGCGTATCAAGAAAGGCCCTGTCATAAAGGAAGACGACACGCATTCGCGTGTCGTAACCTTACGACGCGCGTGTTAATGACACACATTGCGTATCAAGAAAGCCCCTGTCAAGAAAGGCCATGTCATAAATGAAGATGACACACATTTTTGCGTATCATAATTGTAAATGTTAAAAAAAAATATTATTTATGGATTTACTTATTTTCAAATTAAATTTGTATTTAATGTTTCATAATAAAAAATAAAATATCATATACAAAAAGTAGAATCCATTGCATAAATTTAATGCCATACAAATAATCGTTCGAACGACTAAGGGGATCCGATTGTACATTGTTATTAAGAAAATGGAAGTATATTGTTATAGTTAGAAAATAAATGAGAGTACAATGCGCTACGTTTGGTTCCTCTCATATAGTTTCCATCTTCAAGATTGCTATCCAATAAGCTTTTAGTATTCGCATGTAGAAATTCCATTGCAAAATGCACACCTGAGAGCTCACGTCCAAGAACAGGGAGGTCTCGTGGCTTTGTTGCCCCAACTGCTAAAATAACCGCATCATTCTCTTCGCGAAGGCGTTCAATTGAGTACACCGGATCGCTTCCTAATTCCAGAATAGAGGAACTGCAAATATTATTACAACTCATTGTTTACCAACAAAACAAAATATATGATTATGATTACCTACCTACAAAAGTGGGCCCTAGCAATCCAGAATTGGGATTTTGTTCCTTCTCCAGTTAGATTTAAGCCAAGTGTGGGACTACTGCTTGCAAGAATGCAATGTTGAGGGCAATCACAAGGACTGGACCATGGTGTTTGGATCACAACAACAAACCTACATACACAAAACACAATTTTAGTCTTTTTGGAACCTATTAAGGATATCACTCATTGTAAGAACTAGAAAAGGATGGAAAGTTTTTAGGAAATCATAGGGACTTACCGAGCTGCAAGGGTCATCCATGTGCTGTTCTTTCTGCAAACTACACCACACATTTTCGAATTAAATCTGACAGTAAGGTGACTGACTATGCTACAAAAAAATGCAAAATTAACTCCTTTTTATCTTTATCACAAACTATTATGTGAATCCGATATGGTTGTATTTTTTTATTCCATATGCAAGTACCCAACAAAGATTCACATAACAGCCATGCATGGCAACAAGCAGGGAAGCACAACGGTATTGCTTTTTTCAACAAAACCTACAAGTATATGCACAACTAAGAAACAATAAGTTAAATAAACCTAATCTTTTCAGAAAGTTTTATGTGAAACTGGCATGAGGCTTTTACCTTTTACCATGAAAAGATAATTGAATAAAGGATTTGCAAAAGAAGTCACAAAGGGCTTACAGGGTAGTATAATGCACTTACAGTTGTGTTGGTCAACGGCTTAACAATGTGGTAGTATAATGCAGTCAGTGTGTCCCCCTTGTCATTCCTGTTACAATATTTAATTAATTAATCATCAACATAATTACTTTAAAAGATTAATTTTTTATATAACAAAATAAACATAGGTTCATCCGGAGTGTAAGTCACGTCCAGATAGTGGCCTTTCAGCTATCACAGAACTTGACCCATGTTATATAACAGGTAACATTCTTTTCATCTCTCCATCTGTATATACATAAACACACACACACACACTTATACGTTATATGTAAGTTGTAACGGTAGTCCCTGAAAGTGAATTCTTGATTATCAGGTCCTCTTTCATCAGTATGGAAAGAATGGTGCATTGAATTTGGGATTGAGGCAAATGATATTCTTGTTGTTCCATATGATTGGAGATTATCACCATCAAAGCTTGAAGAATGGGATTTGTACTTCCACAAGCTAAAGTTTGTATTCAGTTATTATGTGATCTGAATCATAATAATTTTAAAACCCACATATTAATTTTTTTTTAATTTCTTTGCAGACTTACCTTTGAAACAACTCTGAAGAATGTCCCATTTAATTATTTATTAAGGTCATTTTATGGACACAAGACTTGAAATCAAGAATAAGGTTCCCTCACCACTTTACAATCACACACTCGCCACAATTCTGGTGGAATATGCTTCTGCAGTAAGATGAACATGATATCGTGAGACATTATGGAGTAATTAAGTTAAGTAGAAGAATTAATAATAAACTATGTAGGTTTACATGTCAAATTTAACATTTTTACTTGGACTTGTTAAGGATGTGATGCCCTTACCACAATACTTGGCACAGTTTATATGAAAACTGAAAAACAGTATTTTTCAAATTATGCTGATTTTGTTGTTATCTTGAATCAGGGTTTTGAAGTATTAGAGCTAATTGTTGATGTTGAGAACTGTCTTCAGGCCTTTGTTGGGGTTGCAGATGATCTGGATGCAATTGTTATTGCATTCAGAACTGTTCCCTAACACCCTGAGTTTAGTTTCATCACCATCATCCAGTTTAGATACATCAAGACAGTTTGCAAAAATCTGAAAATACAACAAATTATGAGGTTACATACACTAGTAATTTTTACACTTAGAAGGACGATTTATAGGTCTCAGGCACATCAAAAACTTGCTTGAATCACCAACAATGCAAATACATACCAAGAACAATCATTTGTTTAGACTCTTCCATTGGTCCTGCAACCGTTGAAATGATTTTCTTGCACTGCCCTGTATCAACATACAAAAACCAACAATCATACTCATACATATATATATATATATATATATATATATATATATATATATATATATATTAACATGTATATTGTATATATATATAAAAAGAAACTGAATATTGCCTCTGGAATGCCGAGTAAAGTAGAGGGATAAGGCTGAGATTTCCCTGAATCTTTAGCACTATCCGCCCCATCAACATTATTTCAATCCATTAATATTTTATGCCACTCTTTGCATTCTTTTGACTTGCGAAAATGCACTGCACAAACATGTAACAAGCCAAACTTTTAAAATATATTTAAAAAAATAAATAAAAAGTTCTCCTTTAACAATTTCCTTTCTAAAGGAATAGCCTGATGCAGGAACTTTGATTATTCATCATTGATGTATTTGAGGTTGTGGGAACATAAAAGTTTCCGGTTCAAGAAGAATCAGTGGTGCTACTCCCATAACCATCACCTGCAAAGTATACGTATTAAGTACCCCATCAACATTAAAGAGGATACTACAGTGACAAAAGCAGAGAGAGAGAGAGAGAGAGAGAGAGAGAGAGTACCCTGTGACATCTGTTGTTGATGGACATTCAGAACAGTCCCATAATGAGAAGGTGTCTCATTTTCTCTGTGACATTTGAAAATCCATAAGCTTTGTGTTGTAAAGTAGACCTGATTCCCCCACCCATATGGCTCCTAAGGCTATGTAATATGCGACTGTTCTGGCCACCAACTTGGTGCTTCTGGTTTAGTGGCTAAGATACCATTGTTGAGTCAATAGTCGATAGCCCAACAACATTGTTGGACATATCTGTTTTCATGTAAAACTGATTAGTATTACTATTATTAAATCCAGGAGTAGGCATCATTCACCATTCATAGTCCATAACAAAGAGATCAAAACCCTAACTTATCAATGAAAATAGACAGAAAGAATCAAAATAGTAAACATGTGGATGTGTGTGTGGTGTTGTGTGAGACTGTGAACAACTATCATAATGGGATTAAGAAGCAAAAAAGTAGGGGAGATGGATGTCTCACCTGAGACATAAAAAAAAGAGAATAAGGGAGATGGAATGGAGCATACCTGAGATGCTTAGAGTGTAGAATTGGGGATCAAGGAAAGAGGAGGAAATCACGATTAATATCTGTATCGATTTTCCAGTTAGAGTTTTACAAAGGAGAATACAAGAAGAATCAAAATCGAAATCAGAGGCATGAATAAAGGAGAAAGAAGAGCAATTTTTACAATACAGAGGAGTGCACCTTACCAAATAATCCTTCGATTGACTGCAATTTGGAGTCAAATCGATATCGATTCAGCTAGATAATACCAATTTCGATTTCAATTTCATCTACTCCAAGTCTTTGTGGCCTATAAAACACGGTGTGTGGCTGATGATGGACAACCTGCGAGCTGCTGGTTTGTACCCAACGCTTTACCAGCAATACCTTCTCCCGATACGAGCTGCTGGGTTGAGGTCGCCTCAAAGAACCCTAAATCTCTGGATCAAACACATACGAAGCGGATTCAATCACATAAATGGGCCCAGATCTTCCTTCACATGGGCCCCATGTTTGCCTTGTCTAATTACTGGAAACCATAGTTGAACAAGAAGGTCTGTGTCCATTATGCATTTTTCATTCAATAGTCAAAGTCTTGAACCAATCGATCATCAAAGAATTCTTGATAGTCATCAAGAGGGTTCAAATCTGTTTCCTCTGGGGAAACGATTAGATCAAATATGTTTCCTTTGGGGAAACGATTGGGAACCATATACGGATTAGGGTTTACAGAGAAAATGAGAAGGAGAGATTGAAGGTTGTCGGCTGGTGGCGTGCTTTCCTTGATCGACGTCGACGATCGGGAATGGCAAGTAACGATGGTCGAAGTGTGAGGGAAGAAGTAGGTGGCAGTCAATGTCGGCAAGGGGAAGGAAGGAGCGTCTATAATTAGGGCAAGAGGGAAAGGAACAAAAAGGAAGGCAGGGATTTTAATTTTTTAGGATTTCATTTTCCCCCTCAGCTACTAAAGGATGGAAGGCGCGTTTCCATTAAAATTTATAAAGTGACATCCTCAGACGACACACGTTTTATTATAGGCGCCCTCCGTGTTTTTTTTAGACACTAATTTAAGGGTACGCAAAAATGCGCGCCCTAAATCCTTAAAATTTATAGAGAGATGACATTATTTTTAGATGACACTCGTTTGCGTATCGTGAATCAATACGTATCATAAATTGCACGTCGTAAAAGGCTGTTTTCTAGTAGTGAGTAGAATCCACTTCATCCATCACTATATGTAAGCACCCATCAAAATCATCATCTTCCATAGGATTAGGCAGTTGCACCTCATGCTAAAGTGTTCTAGTTTTTTCACCATGTGCCCACTAAGTTGTATAATTGGAGATGAACTCGTATTGTAACAAGTGGAGCTTTACATCATCTCTTGTTTTGTAGGGCATATGTAAGAACCCATAAAAAACATATGTATAATTCTTGAGCTAAAATTGAAGAAGAAGAAAATGTGATGCTTTTGTAACACCGTAAATTTTCAAACAAAATTTTCATTTAAAATCACATTAATCTCATTAACACAATCACAAAAATTCCCAAAAATATCAAGTTACCAAAAACACATGTTTATAAATTGTTTAAAACACAATCCAGGATCCTCCAAAACATATCTCCAACTCATGTGTGTACAATCAAGCTGGTGCCTTCCCGTGATCCTGAGAAGTACCTGAAACACATAACACATAATACGGTAAGCACGAAGCTTAGTGAGTTTCCTAAAATATCACACATATCTCATTAGCTGCTCATTGCTATGCTCGAATAAGACCCTCAGGTCAATGTATCTCAGTGGGACCCTCCGGTCCCACAACTCGGGTGGACCCTCTGGTCCTAACTCAGTAAGCTCATAATAATACACATCGTAAATCACAAAGACATAATGCAATATATCACAATACTCAATATAAGCACATAAGACCCTCCGGTCACACAAAGATTACCACTCTAGGTAAGTATAGTGAGAAGACTCTACTCGTAAGCTAGAAAGCAAATAAACCTCATACACGAATCTCCGAACTAGCCTTTGCCTAACACATAGGATAATTGTCTCTAAATAACACTTAATCACGACTCTACATAAACTAAGTTATTTTCTCTCTCAAACTCTTGGAATGACTAAAAGACCATTTTATCCCTCCGTGGTCCCCATAATCCCTGTATGGACCATAGCCTAAAGTCAACAGTAGTCAACACTCGCGTCAACAGTCCATGTTGACCCGACTCGCCGAGTGCATCTATATGACTTGGCAAGTCCCCTTGTTCCTTAAAAAATGTTGCGAAAACCCAACTTAACTCGTCGAGTTGTCTCATAAATTCGTTGAGTTACCCATTTACAAACTCTCGAGGAAAACCCTAGCCGACTCGTTAAGCCAGCTCATTGACTCAGCGAGTCCATTCAGTTAAATTCTCATCCAAACATTTTAAGTCATATCTATAACCCCAAACTCTAGATCTATCCTCCCAAGGCTCGAATGTCACGTAAAGCTACAAGCTTTTACGTTCATGCATGTCATATTAGGCTCATAATGCCAATACAAACTCCAACAAGGGTTAGATGCACAAAAGCTTATCTCTAGCTCAATAAAGTTCGGGTCTTTGGACTCACCAGACCACCCATAGAACAGATCTGAGGTTTCAACCTTAATACATGCTAAAGTGACTCAATATCACCAAAATAGATGGGAGAAAACTCTAAAAACTCCCTAACCCAAGATCTCACAAAGAAATCATCAAGTTAGCATCTTTTTACCTCCAAATGAAGCAAATCCCTAAAGAATCTCTAGATCTAAAGCCTCTGCTCGATCCAAGCTTTGATGCTCTCCACTTCTCCTCCAAAAGTGCACTAAAATCACAAGATTAGCTTCTCTTTTGCACACACAAGGCTAAGGCTCGATTAGGGTTCTTCTCAGAGTGGTGGGATGATAAAGGGAGGCGGAAATGAGGGCTTAAGGACCTTTAAATAGGACACAAACCCAGAAGATTAGGGTTTCCACTCACAGCGCCAACTCGCCGAGTTGGTCTCTCCAACTCGTCGAGTTGGCCTCTCCGACTCACCGAGTTGGTTGTAAAACTCACGTGGCCAAATTGAATCTACTCGAGGAGTTGGGGCACCCACTCGTCGAGTTACTCAATTAACTCGTAAATAAATATGTAAATATTGTACCTGAGAGTCGGGATGTTACATCTTTATTTCCCTTCCCGTTGTCATTTTGTTCCAGTGGTTAGAGCATCCTACCATTTACATTCATTAGTTATTCATCCTTAAATTTTAACATTGAAAACAACTCATTAATAGCAGTACATGGAACTAGTAGGTGTAGGGTTAAGAGAAATATATAAAAACTACCAAATTTTAGCAACCATTTTCGAAATATTCACATCAATTTTTGAGTATTCACATCCATGTTTGAAGTAGTCAGCAGTTATTCTCGAGGCATTCAAAATATCCAAGAAATCAAAGAGAACTAATTCTAAGAAATCAACCACACATATTACAGGAAATAACCAGGTCCAAGAAATCGGAATAACTTAGGGTTACGTGACCGAATCAACTATGGAGTGGCGGAGACGGTACTGTTGAAGACGGACCGGAGACGAATGGACCTACCGACGACGAATGGACTGTCGGCGATTAGAGTGGCGTAGCTTCTTCGTGGTGCAATTTTAGTT